GCGAGGCACATTGGGAGGGGTCCTCGGTAGGCCCTGGCCCTGTGGCAGACCCCGCGCCCGCAGATAAATCAGACTGGTGTAGAATATCGAGGGAAAGGGAAGGAGTGACACATGAAACATGCATGGTTCGGCTCTGCGGAGTGGGGGAGAGGGGGAAGGGCTGCCTTGCTGGCTCCTGGCTTGAGAAGACGGGGGCCGGCTACGCCCCGCCACGCCCCCCAAAACATGAATAACACTTTGATTCTCCCGCCATTACCCCCGCGCGGGCCACTCACAAGGACGCCATGAGGGACGCGCGCCGGACAAAGTCAAGACGGTCGACGGCACGTGTTCAAATCTAGGTTGCTTCAAATTATTATTTAGTTTTAAAAACGAAGGATGATGTTCATCAATAAACGTTATTCGGCAATCTTCATCAAAACTGGAATCCTTAACATCAAAACAGGGCAACTTTTACCTTTGGGTAGAGACAGCCAAAGGGGGCTATCTGAAAACACTTATACTGGAGGAGCGGGAGAAGAGTACGGATTTGAACGTAAACTTTTCAAAAATGTCCATAAAACTTTGCAGGTAGAGACTAACTCATTATTTCCCTAGTCTGCTGACGCAGTTAGCTCAGTCCATCACAATCACGTCTTCCTCTATCAAAAGACCTGGACGACCTCTGGGCGACCTCCACTTCCTGAGCGGACCAAAGCGTTATTGCTACGGTGGTTGTGGTTGTGGTCACCCTATTATCGTTCAGCTCACCTCAACCAGTGCCGCTTGGTGATCATGGTGTGACTGCAGATGGCGTCGTACTGGTCGGCGGTCCACACGATCAGGATGATGTAGAAGGCGGTCTGCGTGTCGTTGAAGAATTCGGACATGATGGCCTCCATGCCTGCAACAAACAACATCAACCAAAGAAGACTGTTTAGAAAAGGGCGAAAAAAAACACGGAGAAGGGCAAAAAAAACACGCAATGAGGAGAAGGGCGCTGGCCTCTGGGCCGGGCCGATTAGGGAAATGGTGGCTACAAAGAGGGAGAGGAGGAAGGAGACGAGATGGGACAGTGGCGCCACGCCGCGCCACGCCACGCCGCGCCACGCCACGCCGAGCCACGCCACGCCAGGCCGGAGGCCACGGCGATTAGCAGGCCTGCTGGCCGGAGCCGGGGCAGGACAACAGGGTCATGATTCCTGACCCGGGCCCTCCCCTCCCCTTCATTCCCTGATTAGTCGCTTCAGGCCG